GTGAAGAGGTGGATAGCTTGCAGGCCGGCCCCTCCCTCCTGGCAGCACAGTGACGTACCTCGTCGCCATGACATCACCGCAGAGAAGCGGTTGAGTTCGCACCTCTTTCTTCCCATCTCCCCCTCCCCGGCTCTTCCTGCGCCTTCCCCCTTCCCAGCAGGTTGGAGTCACCCGCGGTGGGGAGGAGGAGCCGTACACCCGAGGACATTTCCACCGCTGGCACGGCGTCAGGACTGCGGGCAGGCGATAGCGCTGCTGCCCATCTCCCCTCAGCGGGGAGGGATGAAGTCACCGCCCTCCGAGCTGCCAGCGCGGCTTGCCGGGACGGGCGGGTAGGAAGGGTGGCTTCGGCCGGCAGCGACGCATCCCCCTGCGTCTTTCATCTCCTTTGCCACGTCTGACTCAGCCCGACGCTTTGATGGGTAATGGCAGCCCAAAGGAAAAGAGAGGGAGATGGGAACAAGCTGGGAACGGGAACAAGCCACTTGTTGCAAACGTCCCCGGCTTTCCACTGAGAACTGGCACGGTAAAAACCTTCATCAGGAGACCGCAGTTCTACGGTGAAAAGGAGCCAGGCCCTGGAAACCAAAGCATGAGCCGCAGGGGGGTCTCTTGCCGTAAAACGCTGGGCAAGGGACCGTCTCCGATCCCTGAAAATGACATGCGTGCCCGAAAATGTGCCAGCCCCATGGCGAAAGGAGGGTGGAAGCCTTTCTCCTCACACGCAGGGGACGGCGCAGCATGGCTCGGCGGGCAGGAAAACGGGTCTGTCTCGTTGCCCGCTCCCCTGACACGCACAGGTGAATTTTGGGAAGCAGACGCCGGCGCTTTCGCGGGCAGGCACGCAAACCGGCTTCTGCGCGGTGACTTCTCGTGGGAAAGCTGTCACCCTCGGATCAAAAATAGCCCGCCGCTCTCCTGTGAGCCACCTGGCGCTTACTCTGGGGGAGTTCCGGTGCGGGAAGTGGACCCGCTGCCAATTCACACCTAGCTCAGCTCCGCCCGTCGCAGGCTCGTGCCTGGGGAAGGCTGGGGAGCGGTCAGCGTTCCCCTGTCGCCGCGGCGGGTCATCGAGACATCGGCTTCGCTCAGCTGGCGGCCCAAGAGATAACAGGCCGGCAGCGAGGCCAAAAGGTCGTGTGCTGAGGTAAGCAGCTCTGCGCCCGTCGGCGGGTCGCCGCGACCCTGCCGAGGTGCCCGTGACCAGCACGTCTGTGCGTGTGCACACCGCAGTTAATTATTCATTAGCGTGGAAGAGGCGTGATTGAAGAGGTTACGGTATGGCTGAAGGCATCGCCGCGCTCCAGCGTGGGACATTCCAAAGACACCTTTTCCTCTGGACCTAAGGGGGTAGCAGAGGTAGATTTCCTCTGGAGCTAAGGGTAAACATAGAGGAGATAGAGAGCTGTGGAAGAGGAAAATCAGCTTTTCCACCCGCAGAAAGCAGCGGTCAGCAGTGCTGTCTTCACCTGAAGGCAGCTGGAGTGAGACAGTAACCACACCAAGAGACAGCTCCAGGGACCCGGACTCTGCTACACTGCGGCCCTCCGCACAGGGCGGGTATGGTGGGACCAACCACCTTACCATACCAGTTACGAGTCCTCCCTGCCTGCCAATTCCCTTCCACCCGATCAGGAAGGAATTATGTAGGAAGACGTCAGGCCCAGCCCGCACGGACGGCCCAAATCTGACATCATTTCTCGCCGTCTTCATATTACTCTACCTCCTGGCTTACAGAAGCGCTGCTGACACGATGAAAGGGAGGAAGGACATCTCCAGCATCCCACTGAGGTTCAGAGAGGAACAAAAGGGATCGTAAGACCCTCCACCAGTTTGACCCACTGCAGGCACAAACACAGAAAGGCCCTTCGGAACCGAATTACGGCCTAGAGCGCAGCCTCCCAGAGATGCCAGTGGTCCTGCAGCAACCTCCTGAGGAGAAAGCCCAAAAATCAAGGAAGCCACAGACACGAGACCCTGAGGGTCAGAGCAGAGGCAGGCTGGCTGGGCAGAGGCAGGTACGCTCCCTCCCTGCTACTGCTTACAGCCACGTGGTCCGAGGGCTTTGGCCCGCAGCACTGAGGGCCTGGCAACCTTCCCCAGCATCGCGGCCCGTGCTGGTGAAGGGGACTGAACAGGGAGGATGAGCGCGCGCCTCTGGTACCTACGCGTCGCCCCGGAAACACGCAGGATGGAGACCCGTCACCGTCCTCTGCGTCAGCTACACCACTGCTTGCTTGCTTCCCTCCGTGTTCCCTGAATCACTTTTCCTCCTCATCCTCCCCTTTAGGATTTCCATTTTGGAACACGCGCACAGAGAAAAGGTCATTTTACTAAATTTTTATTGTAAAAACACAGTTTCTCAGATGTATATAAATAAGCCGTGTGCGTAACGTACAGCTACGCTCGTTCCACCCTCCAACACTGACAGCTCTATAAAAACGAGACGGGCTTGAAGAATGCCAGTCCAAAAGGACGTTAGGTTTCTGACAACCAAGTCCCATCTCACAGGGAGCCCCCCCACTCTGCCAGCCTCCAAACAAGATGCTGAAAGCACACAGCACTCCCAACACCCCCAAGCACTGACAGGGAGGCATTCGAGCCTTACGGACAGCTCTCACCCACTCCCCACGCGTCGTCAGCCGCCTGTTTTCGTGCTGTCTCTGCCTGTGGTGGGTGAGAAAGGAGGGGGCAGTTTGCATAGCAACCTCCTACACCCAGGCAAGCTCAGCTGTCGCACCCTCCCAAAAAAAAGCGGGGAAGAGCAAGCAGAGTCCTGCGTCCCTGTGGCTCACACCTCCGCAGGCAGCCCGGAGGGGGACCCTTGGCACTGCCGGCTCTGTACAGACGTCTTAGAAGGGGGGGGGAAGAAGGTATTTTTTGGCATCCAGAGGGAAGAGAGACAGGTGCTGGTCAGAGCTGTGCCACGTGGAGGTGGGGAAGGCAGAGAAGAGAGGACATGACGTGGAACAAATGTGAGGGGATAAAAAAAAACAACCCCAAAAGGCTAGACAGCACCTTTTCTCTTTCACTTCCCCCTCCCAGCGCTGCTGTACAGCTCTACAGTGTGTGGTGAGACTACCTACTCCCCACCCCCTTCCTGCTTCGGCTCAAACACAGGAAAGAGCCACAGACAAACGAGCAATCCCACGAGCAAAGACAAGCTTAGCAGCTTTATACACACATCCCCCAATTAATGTACCCCACGGAACCGTTACGTCGGTATGAAAAAGTAAAAGCTTGACGTTTAACTATTAAAAATAAAGCCCCACCTCCAGGTTGTACAAGGCCTGTCAAAAGAAGGAAGAAATCCCTGGTGTGCAGCGAGCCTGGGACCCGGCGAGGTGTCAGGAGCACTTCCAGACACACACGGCCAGGCTGCCACCAAAGAACATGTACAGCAGATTCTTCACCTCGTGAGTGATCTCGAAGCCAAAACCTTCCCCGATCACCACGTGCCAGGAGGACCCAAATTTCTTGTCCATCATCTCTTTGATCATCTTGGCAGCGCTCTGGAGAAGGTTAAGAAGGAGAGCGTGGGGTCAGACAGAGCAAGCAGAGAGTCTTTATGCCAACATCCCCCTAGCCCTCTTCTCCCTTTAGTAGGCCGCTCAAGACATGGGCAACAGGAATAGCAGCTGTACTGCAGGAACCCGGAGCGCCCCGGAACCATGCCCGAGGGCGAAACGGGTCTCCCTGTTTCCAGCACAGCCTCCGACACAGCAGCTCGGAGGAATTCAGAACCGCATCCAGCAAGCACTCCTCTCGTTCACACAGGCTGAAGCAAGAGCTCGGGTTTAGGCGCTGACGGCGCTACGCCGGGTGCAGCGAGCACGAGAGGAGATTCAGGTCACTAAGCTGTGGCTATTTTTACAGGAGTCCATTTTTGTTTCTCCAGCTAATTACACAAACACTGAAACTAGGCTGACTTTTAAAAGGCTTGCTTCTCCCAGATCACGCCCCGCTTGATCTAAAAAAGGGAAGAGGAAGGTTTTGCGGTAGCACGCGGTGCCTCAGGCAGGGCAGGGATGGAAGGAATCGCTGGCTTCGCAGCTTTACTTTGCTCCAACACAAATCGGCCCCGGCAACAAGCCGTCTGTGCCCGGGCCGTGGAGCAAGGGGTGTTCTCCTTTACCCCTGGCTCTCAAAGTTAAGGGCGACCTTTCCAAAGGCTGTAACCTCTGCGTCACCCCCCCACTTACATGGTCACAGCAATTTCAGAGAGCAATAGGATGTCAGGATCTGACTCCACTCTGCCCCACGCCCTTAGCCTGCTCCTGCTGATTCTTTGAGCCACAGTGACCGAAGGCTGGCCATCTGGGCATTCGGCTAGTACCTCGTTGTTGGTGGCGTATTTCTCACAGGCCGTGACACACAGCTCCATGGCCTCTACACGCATCTCCTCCGGCATGTCTGTGTGCTGGAAAGAGCAAACAAGCAAGAGGAGCTAAGCAGAAAGATAAAAGCTAGGCACACGACAACAGCAAGCAGCCCTTGCTTTGCCCAGGCTGTGGGCCTCGGCTGCTGGGCGTGGGCAAAAGGCAAGCTAGCCCACCTGCCTTTTCACGCTCACTTCAGGGCGAGAAGCATTGCCAGCCACACGGGCTCGCCTGTACACCGAGCATTTCCACTGTTCCAGAGAACTGTAAGTATGAAAACAGCTTGCTGTGTTACAAGCAATCCCTTCGCTCCTTTACCCCCACTGCAGAATTCCTCTCTACCTAACGTTAAGACTAGCACTAAGTCAGCACAGCTTAAAGCAGGAGATAAATACATTTGTTAGTTTTTCTGTTATAAGACAAAGGGAAAGCACGTTCATAAGGCTCCAAACACAGCCCTTAATTATTCCTATAAACATGACAAAGAAGTTTAAATTACACAGCCTTTTCTTCCTCTTCTGCTATCTGGCTGGCTTTAGCCCCAGCTCCTCTAGGGAGAAAAGCAAGCTGCATCCAGAACACAGGAGAGGGCTCCAAAGGCAGCACACGATGGATCTATTAGGTCATTCTGGCTTCCCCTAGCTGACAGGGGGAACAACAGTGCTAATGAATTTCCCTGGCAGAGGTCAAGGACTGGGAGAAAGCAGCGGTGACGGCTGGGATCACACGTTCTCACAGCAGCTACCAACCGGGAGAAATTCTAGTTTGGAAGGTTGGTAAGAATGAAGGCAGAATTGTGTCTCTGTAACCCTGGCAAACACGTAATCCATCCCTCCTCTTACCCTAATCAGCGGAAAGCTGTGAAGTCTTTTATAATCAGCCTCCTCCTTTTTCCCCTCCCCGGTGTCTGCCATGGTCCTTCCACAGTGACCCCGGGAAGGGCCGGAGGGGCTGCCCGGAGCTCAGCAAGGTGCTGCGGCGCAGAGAGCGGAGAGGCACACGGCTCTGTGAGCAGGGGCAGGGCAGCTTCAGCAGGGGAGGAAGCTTCTCGGCCCAGAGGACACTGCTTAAACAAAAACACGGGAAAGAGAAAGCTGGCTTTGAATTAAAATTGAGGGCCAATAAAATGATTACGAGACTATTATCCCATCTCAGTTACTTACCTACCAGTAGTGTCTTTACACGCCATGCACTTAGAGTTATCTTACAGACCATTAATGCAAACAAATTTAAAAGAACATATAATTTTCCATAAACGAGGCTTCAAGAGCACAGCACTTCCCAGAAGCACCAGTCGAGCTTGAGGGAAGAGCCGAGTCAGGCTGCTGCTTCCACCAAGGGAGGGGAGAACAATACATCAGCCACTACGTCTGTTGATTAATTCCAAAAGGATTTTCCTAGGACACTATTATCCACAAGGGTTTCAAACAGCGCATGACAAGCGAAGGGTAGAAGTATTTTAGGAACAGGATCAGCGTACACGTCTGGATGGAAACAATTAATGGGAACATCTTGCTCCGGTTTGCACATTTGCTCCTTGCATCCATGAGAGTTTGTCAGCTGGGGAGGACCATATGGGAAAATGCTGGACCGTGTCTCTGGGCCTAATTACCAGCCAGTCTCTACCTGGGCAGCGCAGAGGCACAGCACTGCCTGACTGGCTGATTCAGAACATTTCACCGTGGTCTTCCCTCGGGTCCTCTCATCCAGAACAAAGCACCTTCCTCTCCTACCCAGAGAAGGAAGCGGATCCAAAACAAACTTGGCATCAGGCAACACCACACAGACCAAGTGTTTATGCCAAGCACGTGGAGTTGCTGACTTCAAGCACCAACGGACAGACTATCGGCTCTCACACGAGGGAACTTGCAGCCTGTCGACCCCCCCACCATAAGCTCCCCAGGACAGAAGAGTCTCCTGGCTGGCACCAGCCTCCCACAGCAGGGTAAAACCAGGCAGCTTCTCCCCGGACCGGGGCCACAGACCAAGCCAGGCCCGCGGG